TATATAAATAAAATATTTTTAATTATAAGAACTAAAAAATAAAAACAATAAAATTTATTTAAATTTAAAATAAAATAGTCTCATTTTCCTCAATTCCCCTTTCTTTTTAACATTAGGGAGTGAAATCAAATTTGATTATTTGAATATCTTAGTGAAATCAAAGGCAGTGTTGGATAGTTAGTTAAGTTAGTTATCTGGTGTATAGCAGCATGAGCATGGTTTCAGAAACAGTAACTAATTAAGGCCATGTGTAGCCGGCAAAGTGATCGGTCATGACGGCCGAGGCTATCTGCACCACCCGTCCCAAAGGCCACGTGGCGGACTCTGGATTAATCCACGTTTTGCTCTCGCCATTCTCGCTCCCCCACCCCCTCCTATCTCTCTTTTATGGCGCCTCTCTTTTCCATTGCAGCAACAACAACAGCAACAACAACATCAATGTCTGGCCACGGTGGCGGAGCACCGCCGGGGCTACGCGCCCAGCAATGGAGCCTCCGCGGCCACCGGTACGCGGTCCTCCTCATCACCTTCGTCGCCTACGCCTGCTACCACGCCTCGCGCAAACCCACCGGAATAGTGAAGAGCGTGCTCAGCAAGGGGTGGAGCCCCTTCAACGGTGCCCACGGAACGTCAAAGCTGGGCGAGATCGACGTGGCGTTCCTCGCGTGTTACGCCATCGGAATGTATGTGGCGGGGCACTTGGGAGATAGGATGGACCTTCGCCTCTTCCTGGCAACCGGAATGTTGGGTAGCGGAATATTCGTGGGGCTTTTCGGGATGGGGAGCTTCTGGAATGTTCACGGGTTTTGGTACTACCTCTTGATGCAGATGATGGCGGGGTTTTTTGAAGCCACCGGTTGGCCTTCGGTTGTGGCGGTTATTGGGAACTGGTTTGGGAAGCACAAGAGGGGGCTGATAATGGGGGTTTGGAACGCGCATACTTCGGTGGGTAACATTTGCGGCTCTCTTCTTGCGGCTGCTGTATTGGATTACGGTTGGGGTTGGTCGTTTTTGGCGCCTGCTGCTTTGGTCATTCTTGGAGGACTTTTTGTTTATTTCTTTTTGGCTCCTTACCCTGAGGACGTGGGCTTTTCGTTTGTTCGTTCTGCTGATGCTGATGCTGATGCTGAAGAGCCTCAGCTGAGTGATGAAGAGGCTCAGCAGAATACAGGTTTTCCCAGAGAAGCCTCTGTCAGCATTGGCCTTCTTCAGGCATGCATGATTCCCGGAGTCATACCTTTCGCCCTCTGCCTTTTCTTTGCTAAGCTTGTTGCCTACACCTTCTTGTATTGGTTGCCGTTTTACTTGACTCAGACAGGTTTCATGCTCTCTCTTTCTTCTAATTCAGATAAACATTATTATTATTATATCGTTGTGTGAATTAATCAATGTTTGTTCAAGAAACAAGGTTTTGATCGGTGTTTGTTTGTTTGTTTGTTTTGTTGAGCCAATTTTGAAACGTATCAGCACCGTTAAATGTTCACTTACAAATGGCAATTCAATTGTGTCAAGCATGTTTAGATAAACTTTTCCTTAACTGCAAAAGGAAAACAAAATAAGAGGAAAAACTGAAACTAGTGTGAGAGTTTTTACAAATTAGTTTATCCATTAGTATGTTCAGAACTTTATTTCATTTTTCGTTTATATGGAAAAATTTATCTTAATAGACCCTTAATGTGTGACTCAAGTGAAAATAATTGACCAAACCTTGGAAGCTAATAGTTTTCTATAATTATACTTCACAAGAACCGTTCCACTTTTAATAGTCGTAGGATTCCTCTTTGAAGATCAAAATATATCAATTGGATAAACTAGTGTGATCCCAATTTCGTACAATTGCATGGACTAGTGTGAACCTAATTTCATGTTCTGTTTAGTTCTCTGGTTAAAAGCCTATCAAAATGTCTCTTCTGGTTGTTTCTGTTTAAACTGCAAGAAAAAAATTGTATTTGATGAGACGGGTCATATATCTTTGTATCTTGTACATGCAGAAATTGGTGGGAAGTACATCTCTGTTAAGTCTGCTGGAAACCTTTCGACCCTGTTTGATGTAGGGGGCATTTTTGGTGGTATTATTGCTGGCTACATATCCGATAAACTCAATGCCCGTGCTTTAACTGCGGCTACCTTCATATATGCAGCCATTCCCTCTATGCTTTTATACCGATATTATGGAAGTGTTTCTATGAATGTCAACATTGGTCTTATGATGGTGACGGGACTACTCGTAAATGGACCTTATGCACTAATCACCACTGCTGTCTCTGCTGACTTGGGTACACACAATTCTCTTAGAGGAGATTCTCGTGCTCTAGCTACAGTAACTTCTATCATAGATGGAACCGGATCTGTTGGTGCGGCTCTTGGCCCTCTTCTCACTGGGTTCATTTCAACAAGGGGATGGAATGGAGTTTTCATCATGCTAGTTCTTGGCGCTTTCATTGCGGGGCTTCTTTTGACGCGTTTGATCATAGCTGAGATTGCAGAGAAAAGAAGCAGACATTTATCAAGTGAACGGCAAAATCCTGAAGGTAATATTTCCAAAGAAGTAAATTCAGAGAAACTGAATTTGAATTAGAAAAAAAGTCTTTTATTAAAAGGAAAGAGAGCAAATGATTCTCCTAACTTTTCGAGAAGCCTGAACTCACCCACAACACAACAATATGAATTCCCTCTCAAATCACACAATAAAATTCCCTCGACCGAGTAATTCACTAAGTAACTCACTAATTGAATATTCTTCAGTCAGTTAATATGGGGTTAAAAAGTCATATAATCAATTTCAGTCTTCACCTTGCCTTCATGTTCATGAATATTGTTCCTTGCTCGTGAAAAAATCTATTCAGTGGAATAAGTAGTTATTGTTGAAATTCTGAATTTAAGGAATAAATAAAATCATGTATTCATATAATATCTAGCTATTCACCTTTGATGTTGCATGAACTCGTCTTGTGCCCTCGTGTCTGCTCATTTTCTTTAACCAAATTGCTAAGAAATAGCATTCTCATGTTTAAATTACATCCAAAGTGCCTGTGTTATCATCCCTTGTAATATTTTTGACATACTATTGATCTTTGGCAGCCACTGTAGTTCAACCGCTTCTGGAACCACTTCTAGAGGAGGAAACGTTGGCAGCCACTGTACCTGAGCCACTTCTAGAGGAGGAAAGGTTGACAACCACTGTATCTCAACCGCTTCCAGAGGAGGAGGAAGAAAGGTTGGCAGCCGCTGAGCGAAGGTTGGCAGCCATTGAGCAAAGGTTGGCAGCCGCTCAGCATAGGTTGGCAGCCACTGTCTTTCACCATCTTCCGGAGGAGGAAAGGTTGGAAACTACTGTATCTCAACCGCATGTGAAGGAGGAAAGGTGAAATTTATCAGGTCCTCGTGAACCATCGAATATAATGTCCAACACTCGGGTTGTAATATGAGAATGTTGTCAAATTTTGTTAATACCTCTGCCTCTAGCTTGCAGAACCGACTTCATTGTTCATTTTACTGATGTGTAAATCAACATGTAGATTTAACATCCATTCATTTAGATACCCAATCAATTTGTTATATAGACTCTGGAAGGTTCCAAAGGGGGTCACGCCTCACAACTGTGTATAGAAATTGATTCCATTTCATCGTGAATTGATTTTCTGAAGGGATGATAGTGGACACTGACTGCTTGTACTAAATCATCTTGACATTAGATATTCCTAACTTGCACTTTTTCCCTTAATGCATGTGTTAGACTCACATATTCAAGAAACCTCTCTTTTTTTAATTGTATGCCGCAGATTAGGATGTACAGACAAAGTTGATTAAGAATAATACTTATAAGTAATTACATAAAACTGAGCCATGCGAGAATAGGGAATTTGTCAGATGGTAGTATGCGAGGGATACGAGGGACCTTGTAATTGGGTATCCTACTGACTTGAATTTTAATGCATTGCCATCTCCTTTTTACTTGATTAACCCGCTTGAAAATTCCTTTGCACTCGTTGTTCCAGTAGAGTCGAGAATGATATCTCAGTCGGTCCTCATGTCATTCTTTATCCCCTCACCTATCTTTATCCTAGCGACTATATGTCTATATCAGAGGAGTTCGACGAAATGATTCCGATCATCTTGTCATAGGACGATACTTGCAAAGTGTCAATGAATAGGGACACTGTTTCTTTATCCGACAAGGGCGGCTCCACTTGAGCTACAATTGAAATTGATTATTTAACCCCATCTTTTGACAGATTTATGTTAGATAACCTCAATTAGCAGTTAGTTATGATATGTAAGTCAATCAATTAGTGGGTTACTTAGTGAGTCAAGTGGGTCATGATGTATATATAAAGGAAGAGGGGTTGAGGGAATTTGTATTGTTATGTTGAGGGCCAGTTCGGGCTTCTCGAAAAGTTAGGAGAATCATTTGCTCTCTTTCCTTTTAATAAAAGACTTTTTTTCTAATTCTAATTCAGTTTCTCTGAATTTACTTCTTTGGAAATATTACCTTTAGGATTTTGCCGTTCGCTTGATAAATGTCTGCTTCTTTTCTCTGCAATCTCAGCTATGATCAAACGCGTCAAAAGAAGCCCCGCAATGAAAGCGCCAAGAACTAGCATGATGAAAACTCCATTCCATCGCCTTGTTGAAATGAACCCAGTGAGAAGAGGGCCAAGAGCCGCACCAACAGATCCGGTTCCATCTATGATAGAAGTTACTGTAGCTAAAGCACGAGAATCTCCTCTTAGAGAATTGTGTGTACCCAAGTCAGCAGAGACAGCAGTGGTGATTAGTGCATAAGGTCCATTTACGAGTAGTCCCGTCACCATCATAAGACCAATGTTGACATTCATAGAAACACTTCCATAATATCGGTTTAAAAGCATAGAGGGAATGGCTGCATATATGAAGGTAGCCGCAGTTAAAGCACGGGCATTGAGTTTATCGGATATGTAGCCAGCAATAATACCACCAAAAATGCCCCCTACATCAAATAGGGTCGAAAGGTTTCCAGCAGACTTAACAGAGATGTACTTCCCACCAATTTCTGCATGTACAAGATACAAAGATATATGACCCGTCTCATCAAATACAATTTTTTTCTTGCAGTTTAAACATAAACAAATAGAAGAGACATTTTGATAGGCTTTTAACCAGAGAACTAAACAGAAAATGAAATTAGGTTGACAATAGTCTATCCAATTGACATATATTGATCTTCAAAGAGGAATCCTACGACTATTAAAAGTGGAACGGTTCTTGTGAAGTATAATTATAGAAAACTATTAGCTTCCAAGGCTCTGTTTCAGGGTGCTTCATTTGGACCTTTGATTGATTTGGCTATTTCTGCTCATCCCAGGTCTATCAACCTCACAGATGACATAAGCTCGTCATACATTTGTATTATCAAATTAATATATCAATATCTAAATTGGACAATCATCTTGTGTACAAAAAAAAGCATGTATATCTTTATGAAGGAGAACATGAGACAAATAGACTAATTTGATTTAAGTACTCCCACCACATTTTAAATAAAGGTTGTCAGTAATCCAATCCAATATCAAGAAGCAAATACAAAAGAAGATGTTACGGCATAAATATTTCATCAAAGTTTGTATGGTAAAATGACTATGTATGCGTCTTTTTATTCCACTTCTTATGTCTTTTGGTCGTCTTGGCTTATTTGTATCTAGTGACTGCATAATTTCTGGTAGATATTTTTATTCCTGTTGATCCTAGGTATGCGTGGGGAAGCATTGTTGTTGTTGCTGCAGCAATGGAAAAGACAATGGCGAGAGGAAAACGTGGATGAACTGAGAGATTGGCACGTGGGGTGGAAAAAGGCTCAGCCGTCATGACCGATCACACCTGGCTTTTAGCTACTGTGTGTGAAGCTGTGCGAACATCCAAGCTTCTCTGCAAGAAAGCTTAAAGTTGAAATCCATTACAAAAGATAATTAACTTAACTAACTAACCACGCTTACGAGATAACCTTTTTTTTATAACACTTCAACTTTGTGGTTCTCATTTTCAAATTAATGAGATAAACATAAACAGACTTCAATCAGAAAGAGATAATGTATCAAAAAGATATAACACGTTAGAGAATATTTTACTTTTTAAAATAGAATGCATCACTTACTGTGTATTTTTGTTTATCAGTTTATTTTCAATAATTTACTTACTGTGTATGTTTGTGTGCATCATGTAGACCCACACTATTTTAAATAGCAGAATTAAAATTTGCAAGATTTTAAAATGATCATTACACATGATTAATTAGTGACTTTTTTGTTCTTGTAAATATAAATACATTTAATTTTAATTCTCTAGTTTTTTCTTTTTAATTTATGTCTTCATATTTTAAAATTGTTCAGGGTGCTATTTAATGATGTGTGTAATAATTTATATATATTAGATTAGTTATTATATTTTTTTTTCTATCATACTACTAAAAAATATATAAAAGATTGTTGTACCAGGATTCTTTATAATAATTATGATCCATTCTTTTAATCAATTTAATTCTTAATACAAGATCATTTAAGTAAGATTGTTTTGTTATTGGAATAAGTGAATTCTTATAGATGCATCCTCTGAAAGACTTAGATATGATAATTTTTCATCATCCAACTCAAACACTAATCAATTTTTTTTAATGTACCTATAGGAAAATGTATGTGTTATCTACACATATATTTAGATTCTACGTAATAAAATAGATCTAATTATTTTTTTACGAAGTTACAATTACTTATTAAAATAGTGAAGTTAAAAATTATTAACTAATATATATATATATATATATATATATATATATATATATATATAGGAGTTATAATTATACCGGTGTAATTTTTATTAAGTATAACACGTACTGTTCAATAATTTTATATTAAATGTGAATTTTATAAATCTAACCGTTAGATTGAAAATTCATATCATTTTATACATGTATATCAAATTTTGTTAAAATTGAACAACAACTTGAATGTAATCAAAATGTTCATATTTTAGTGTATTTTGAAATGAATATATTACGTTAATTTTGTTTTATAAAAATAAAGTATCAAATCATCATGGATTAATATAAAATTTTGTATATATGATCTAAGAGATATGAACTTTCAATCTAACGGTTGAATTTATAAAATTTACATTTAATATAAAGTTATTGAGCGGTGTAATACTTAGTAAAAGTTATACCAATGTCATTTGAACCTCCTCATATATAAATTTTATAGTAATCCAAGATAATTTGATACTTCATTCTTATAAAATAAAATTAACGTAATATATTTATTTCAAAATATAATAAAATATGAATACTTTGATTACCCTTAAGTTGTTCAATTTTAATAAAATTTGACATACACATATAATTAATATGAACTTTCAATCTAACGGTTAGATTTATAAAATTCACATTTAATATAAAGTTATTGAGCAGTGTAACACTTAGTAAAAGTTACACCGGTATCGTTTGAACTCTCCTCTATATATATATTATCTTAACCTTTATCATTAAGCTAACTTTAATATTTTGTGATTATTTTAAAAATTACACTTTGAACGCATGTCATTAATAATTAAGTAGTGATATAGATATTAGTTTTTTTGTTTAAAAAAATTACAAGAATAGAAGTCAACAAAATTATTTTTAAATTTGTAGGATTAAAATCAATTTTAACAGTCTAAAAAAATCAATTTTAAAAATACTTATAGAGATTAAAAACATATTTTACTTATGTAAAAAAAAGTAATTTACTCATAATTATTTATACTTTCACTTAATTGTAATTACTCTAATAAATATTTGTATACATGTAATTTTTGGTACAAAATCATATTTGCACTTTAAGATAAAATTTAAAACACAAAGCATCAAAATGAAAGAGCGCACACGCCAACTACGGTTGATTTTTACTTATTTCTTAAACAACTTCTGTTGATTCTTATTCAAGGTTCCACAGCCACGAAATTAAATATCTAACGGTCAAGTTTGATACTGTTGTACTTGTAATGAACCCATAATCAAATAATAATTGTCTTCTTTCTACAGGTGACGTTAAGAATAAAGCATATAGAGTCCACTGTATTCATTAGCTTGGATAGTGCTGTCTGTGTAGACAATCGCAATCGTGCATTGCACAGAAAAATACTCTCGATACTTGTATCGTATACATAGTTTTTTAGAAGTTTAATTTTCATACTCCTTAATATGTTTTTATATTATTAATCAATTAAAAATCATCTTAAGTATAAATTTTAAAATAACTACTATAGAAACTTCTCACATATGATAATTAATAATTGGATGACAATACAATTTTTTTTTATTAGTTTAGTTCATTACATTCAAGCAAATAGCTGTATCTGTTTTGAATGGAACAAACTTAAGCCAGTAATATAGGTTGGAATAAAATAAAAAATATGGTGACCCCCTAGTTAAGTAGTGAATGATCCAATTGACTTGTCTCTTAATGAACTTAACTGATGAGAGTTGAGAAGTTTGCATCAACTCGATATAGCCACAAGGACATTATCAAGTATGGAGCGATCTTCAACAAAGGTGGATTGTTCTTAGGATACGCATCAAGGAAGCCAAAGTTGAGTCCATCTGGATCAAGTGATTTGTCTGAATGCATTGAGAATAAGGTTGTTCTAAATTCATTGATGTTGAAAGGGCGAAGGAGAAGATCATTGTCTTCTTAGGTTGCACGAGGTTTTACGTGATTTGTTACACATGTAATATCACTCGTTTGTTGTTCATAAAGACCTTCAAAGTAGTTTTGGGCCACTAAACATAGCCCCTGTTGGTCGTGAACTGGTACACCATCATCTCTTATGAGGTTAGTGATTGTATTATGCTTTTTTACATGCACTTGTTATTGCATGAAAAAACTTTGAATTGCTATCACCATCTTTTAGCTGGTAAATCTTGGCGCGAAATACTTTTTTCTTACCAGTAAATATGTACGTAGAAGAAGATAAAACATAAGATATGATGTAAATTATCTAAATCATTCGTCGATAGATTGACTTGCTCTTTATTTTCCAAATAGTGGTCTCCCTCTTGCCTTTTCTTCTCTTCTAGTTGATCTATAGGTAAGAAAAGCTAGAACTTGAATTTTTGATGAATTATGGAGTTGTGTTGCTTGTTTTTCACTAAATTCATGGCTGAGTTAATGATTAGGAGATGAAACTATCATGTGAGTTTTTGGTGTTTTGAACCTTGTTCGGGAGAAAATTGGTGTCTTGATCATATGATTATTGCATGTTGTTGGTCTAGTTGGAATTGGAGTGTTTATGAAGTGTATATATGATTTATGGAGTTGCATGTTGAATTTTTTTGAGTTTCAAGCATGGAGAGCCAAATTTGTGATTATGCTAAATGCATAAATCACCATTGTGCCAGATGCAATTTTAAGATGTTGGATATGATGTAGGTCAGAGGTTCTCTTCCTCACTCTTGTCAGGTGCATAATTGATAGCGTCGAGCATGAGTTAGAAAAGAGCTATCTGAATTGGTCATGTCAAGCGTAGGTTGAATGGCAATGGGCATGGATGCTTTTGGAGTTTTCTAACTTGGTGATGTGGGGCCCTAGTTGAGTGGCAATAAGCGTGATCAAGACAAAAACTCTTTACCTAAACGATATTGGATGATAGTGTAGTGACGTCAAGCATGAGATAAGTAGAGGTTTTATGCCTGAAATGGGGTTGGCTGTGGGTTTCCCCACGTTAGGCATGATTGTCATAGGGGCTCTATGTCTCATTTACGCTGAGCATGGGTAGTTTGGCACCAGACACCAGACATGGACGAGATAAAGGCTCTCTACTTCAATGACACTAGACATAAGGGGAATGACATTGAACATGGGCTACCAATTGAAAATGTGTTGTTTAATTGGCTAAGTGTTGATAGTTGGATTCCTTACATGTTTTATATTCCTATATGATTCTAATGCCTTGAATATGGAGTAAGAATGATATATGTGGATATTTAAGTCGTAAGTTGAATGAAAGTTGAAATGTATAGATGTGTATGTTAGGTAGTGTTGGAAATGATTGTGCTGATGAGGCTTAATGCATATTGTTGTGTTGTGTTGATTGACATAAAACTATAGGAGAAATTATTTTAAAAGTTGCATATCTCATTGTGAGAATATGGTGTTGTGGTACTATGAGCTCAGTTATTAAAAACCTTTCTTGAGAAGTTAACTATTCAAGTAAAGTGTTTAGTCTCCTTTAAGACCTTATTTAATATAGTATGAGGGCCAAGTTGAGTCATATTGTGTGTGTAAACGGCCAAATTTTGATTCATGTACAAGCCAGGTTGAACCATATGTATACAAAGTGACCAATATAAATTTGTATGGAGGTAAGATCGAGCCA